AAGGGAAGGGTGTACATCCCCGCGATCCGTAGTGGTCTGCTTTACGGCTGCTAGACCTGACGTCTCCGGGCGAAAGAAAGTCGATTACGACATTCCGTATTCGACCACCGATGCCTTCGAAGCATTGCTCGTGTCTGATGGGAACATCGATTGAACGATGACGAAATTCCTCGCCGTGTGCTGGGTACTGATAGTCGTTCTCTAACGGAAGAAATCGTTCTACACCGCCTCCGATGGCTCGGTCATATTTTGCATATGCCTGCCCATAGACTACCTCGACGTGCTCTCTTTGCACGTGCTTGCTGGAAGGTTGGAAGACGGTTCCGGGCGGTTAGACCATGACGTGGTGTGGAGGTATGAAGAAGTTAGCTTCAGCATTGGCTTCGGGCGGTACAGCTCGCCTTCCAGGTTTGGGCCCAAAGTATGAGGATTGCCGATGACTAGAGACGCTCGGACATGGGACTCACAATAGATGTCAGTGGCGCGATTGCCGTACGGTTTTTTGGCGAAACCACATTTATGTAACCTAAAAAGATATCTTCAAAAAGTGTATGGTGAAACTACCAAAAAGTTCATTCGTTCTCCTTGTTCCCTGTTTTCCCCATTTTCATTTAATCTTTCTGTACCTCTCCATAACTTCATTACCATTCTTTTGCATTGATACTAGGCTTGTTCCTAAGCCGGTGTAATATATATATATATATATATATATATATCGTGTGCTTCCAGGGAAATTTTATCCAGTCATTCAGATATTACTTATTATCAAACATATATATATATTGCAACAATTCTTCATAAACTGAGATGTTTCACGTTGAAAGCAACGTCTTAGACATTATTCCATCGTGATCAGATTGATATCCCTCCTCCTCCTTCTCTCTCTTTTGCATGCACCGCAAGCGCACTTACACCTCATTTGCTCTCTTTTCATGCTTCCGTTCACCCAGGTCATGGATATCAATATGGCCTACGACAGTTTGGATGATCTGGTCCTTGGTTGCGTGGCCGGTGGTGACGCATTCACGGACGATCAGCTTGGATCCGGTCCGAGCGGCACAATGACGAAAGAGAGCACATTCAACCCGGCGAGTGGTAGTCGTAACGCGCATTGTATGCGACCTAGCGGCAGTGTTAGCTCGGCCCACTCCGGTTACGTGGTTGACCGAGTAAGTACCATGCGTGTCAGTCGTTTTTCAGTGATCCATTTGCCTCTGCACCGGTTTTCCAGCTCTTCATGCGTTGGCTATCACACATCCGCATTGGTTCTGGTCATTAGGATAAGAGCGACTGACTGTGGGGATGATCGTAGATGATTAAGTTGTTTTAATAGACTACTTTCCGGAGCAATGCGGAGGATTACATAAGGTAATCCCGATCACCTTCTTACTAGTCCAAATGTACCCCCTTATCCGGTTTGATCTACCATGAGGATGTCACAGTCTGATTAGTCACAGTTTGATTTTACCAAACGTGAAACGCTTGAATCAGTCAGGTACGGTTGGGCTTTTGTACTCACTGATAGAATTGTCTGTTTGTGTTTGCGATCAGTGAACACTGTACAGTGAGAACAAGTGAGTGAATCAACATGCACAAGCAAGAGACCACAGACACACAGTTTATCTTTAAGTTAAAAAGAGAATAGCGTCCTGGAAACAGACAATGTCACACTGTCCAGCTTTTGTCCATTTTCGAGTTAGCATCTTCGAGGTGCTGTCTGTTTTGAGCGAATTGATGCGCGTCATGGTACTTTTTATTCTTTCGATTCTTAGTCGCCCATCCGCGGTGGATAGAAGTCACAATAAGTCCATCGGGAGCCCCCCCCCCTCTCCTCGCATCATTAGAATGCTCAACTTCCTTTACTCGTGATTGAAACAGACAACCATTTTCCCTACTCCTCCTCAGGACCGACACATGATCAAATTGCGTGTTATAGTAGTTCTCGGAACTGAAATCTAATGTTTCGCCAATCGGCAGAGATTACGACACAGCGGGACATTACGATATAAATTTATTCGCCAGTGAATGAATCATCGCTAACAAACTTATCCGCCACTCGCCTGTGAACCGGTCAATCTTCCCTGAGCCCACCTGAACTATTATCACCCAGAATAAGTGCGTCATTTTGAGATATTTATTGACACTGTCATGCTAACGGAACTCGTGGGTGGCCGGTCCATGTGCAGTACACACGCATACAGGTTTGCTCGTCTATCGATTCAATTGTCGCTTCAATCCCTCTCCTCCCCCTCCCAGCGTTCATCCGCAATTTCGTTCGCAGTGAATTGTTGTCTACTTTCCATCTAACAATCATCTAGGCCAGTCCCGTGAGTTTTTATCTCCCCCTCAATCTCACTCTCTCTCTCTCTGTGTGTATACGTCCAACTCATTCACTCACTCACTACCCACGGGGAAAAGCTCTGTTGCATCACTTTGCCGGCTTGTTCCACTGTCTTTCTTTCCGCCAGTGAGGACGAAAATAATTTTATTTCCTTCGTGCAAAAGAATAATCGCACACGGATGCACTATTATATGCGTGCACGCCTATCTGTCTGTGTGTATGTTTGTGCTTCCTCCACTGATGTCAGTTTTTCCTCTCGTCTTTCCTTTGTAACAGACGCAATCTAGGGTATAACAGTCAATTGATCGACAGAGAAGATATTATTCCACAAACGTCTTCCTTAGACCGATTCGTCATGCTTGGAACATTATTGAATTTCGTTCCCGTTCCCTCCCAGCCCCGTTCATTTTTCACTGGTCTGTCTCTATCTGCTTGTTCAGTCGCACATCTCACATTTCGTCGTCCTCTATAGTTGAACACCTCATCTTTCACCACCCCTCTCTCCTCTCCCTCTACCTATTCCACACTGTCCTTCATTTCACCGTGGCGTGGTGATGATTCCCGTCTCAAATCGAACACACACACACACACGTTCAGGATCTGCGTGTGTTCGTTCCGGTGCGCACAGGGCATTTGTCTTGGCCGGCTGGTTATCAGCCCGCTCTAGTCTGTCGGTTGGGCATCCCGGCGCTTGGATTTGACTGTGTGATGACAACGACGACGAGTTCAGTGAACGATCCTACTCTCGTACCACCGCCACCGATTTGCGCTATCGGCCTGAATTCCCATTACGGCCTGTGAGTTTCCTTTATAGTGCTCTTGCGCGTGTTCTTCCGCCTGTTTATGTTTTATCGTCCTCCCATGCCACTGTTCGGTCCGGTCTATACAGGTTGCCGCCAGATAGTGCACGACGGTCGGGGTGTCCACCTACCTATGCCGTTAGAATAACAAAACCCTTGAATGATGCTTGTTATCGGAATACCGGGCTACTTTACCTAAAGGCCGAATTCCGAATCAGGTTGATAACCTCCACACACACACACACACACACACACACACACACACACACA